CAGCTATAGAAGTTCCCTGGTAGAATTTTGGGGGTAACTTATATATAAAATCATCATCTGTGAACAGCGAAAGTTTGACTTCTTCCTTTGCAATTGTATCTCCTTGATCTCCTTTTGTTGTCTTACTGCTCTAGCTAGAACTTCAAGAACTATGTTGAATAGATATTGAGAGAGTGAACAGCCTTGTCTTGTTCCTGATTTTAGTGGAATCACTTTGAGTTTCCATTTAATTTGATGTTGGCTGTTGGCTTGCTGTATATAGCTTTTATTATATTTAGATATGTTCCTTTTTATCATGAAGGGATGTTGAATTTTGTCAAATGCTTTTTCAGCATCTAATGAAATAATCATATGGGGTTTTTTTTCTTTCAGTTTATTTATAGTGGATTAGATAATAGATTTTCGTATGTTGAACCACCCCTGCTTGTCTGGAATGACGCCAACTATATCATGGTGGATGATTTTTTTTTATATATTCTTGGGTTCGATTTGCCAGTATTTTATTGAGTATATTTGCATCAGTGTTCATGAGGGAGATTGGTTTGTAATTCTCTTTCCTGGTTGAGACTTTATGTGGTTTCGGTATCAGGGTAACTGTAGCCTCATAAAAAGAGTGGCAATTTTCCTTTGGTTTCTATTATGTGGGACAATTTGAGGAGTATAAATATTAGCTCTTCTTTGCAGTTCTGGTAGAATTCTGTGCAAAAACCATGGGGCACTGGGCTTTTTTGGTTGGAAGGCTTTTGATGATCCTTCTATTTCTTTGTAGGTTATGGGTCTATATAAATTATTCACCTGGTCTTGATTTAATTTTGGTATGTGGTACCTATCCAGAAAATTATGCATTTCTTTCGCATTTTCCAATTTTGTGGAGTACCGATTTTTGTAGTATGACCTAGTGATTCTCTGGATTTCCTCAGTGTCTGTTGCTATGTCCCCCTTTTCATTTCTGATTTTGTTAATTTGGATGTTCTCTCTCTGCTTTTTGGTTAGTTTAGATAAGGGTTTGTCTATCTTGTTGATTTTTTTTTCAAAGAACCAGCTCTTTGGTTCATTAAAAATATCTTGAGATTCCTTCCTTTTCTGTCCATCGATATACTGCATGATTGATTACATGGCTATGCTGTAATTGATTATATATTCCTCTATTGAGGCTTAGGGCATTTTTATATTTTCTCTATTACAAGGATGTAGTGAACATCCTTGTATCTTACTCTTCTGTGCATATGAATAAGAATTTCTCTAGAATAGACTACTAAAGGAAAAATTTCTGGATCTTTGCTAAATCTTATTAACTCTTAAAAATGCTACTCATCATTTTCATTACATGTTTACTAACTAGGAAGCAGAGGAAGACCTGAGCGAGTGAGCTTCTGAGTGGATGACAGCCTGTGGAGGACTCCAAGACCAGTTAGCCCATGGGAAATTGGCAAAGGCTTTAACCATGTGAATTAGGCTCAAGAGAAATGGCAAAGCTTTTCTTGAGGCCAAGTATGTGTGTTTATGGATGGTTAATCAGTGTGTGCCAAGACTAGCAACTGTGACTTCCAACTCCTGGATATTTACAGCCTGATACTGCTCACCTACAGAGACTTCCCACTAAGAATAGCTAAACCTCAACCACCTGCCTATGTTGTACCTACTAAACATGTTAGGTTTCAGGCTAGTGCTAGAGAACCCCACCTGATCCCAGCTTTACTATATGTGTGTGCCTGTTTTGTTTCTCTGTCCAGTCTTCATTTCCTTGTTTGGGAACCCATGCAGAGCAGGATGGCAACCAACAACAGGAGTTAATTTACACTTAATACCATATCGTGGTTTTCTTTTATGTTTATGAAGGCTATAAATTTAATTTTTGCTTACTTCATAATTTTTCAATAAACAGATTTATATAACTTAATGGTTTTTCAATTTATAAAATTGTTTCCTATTGTATACATTTAAAAAATAATTTATCAGAGTAGTATTCTTTTATTTTTCTTAAAAATTTCCACCTCCTCCCATTTCCCTCCCTCTCCCCCCTTCCCCTCCCTCTCCAGTCCAAAGAGCAGTCAGGGTTCCCTGGCCTGTGGGAAGTCCAAGGTCCTCCCACTTCCATCCAGGTCTAGGAAGGTGAGCATCCCACAAAGACTAGGCTCCCATAAAGCCAGTACATGCAGTAGGATCAAAACCCAGTGCCATTGTCCTTGGCTTCTCAGTCAGCCCTCCTTGTCCGACACATTCAGAGAGTCCGGTTTGATCACATGCTCCATCAGTCCTAGTCCAGCTTGCTTTGGTGGTAATCCTCTTCGTCCTTTATGTTTTCTGCCTTGAATTCTACTTTATTTCCAATTAGTATTGGTGGCTATTTTTCTTTTTATTAACAGTTAGCTACTATGTTTGTCTGTTTTTTATAAGCCTCTTTTATTTTGAACATTTTTTTAACTTTTTATTACATTTGTGTGTGGTGTGTGAGGGCAGGTGGAGGTCAGAAGTCAGGAATCTGTTCTCTCTTTGCACAGTGTAGGCTCTGGTATCAAAGTCAATTTATCAGGCTTAGTATTAGTAGCAAGTACCCCTGCTGAGCCGTCTCATCAGCCCTATTAGACATATCTCTTATTGGGCAATATATATATTATTGCCCAATATATAATATTATATATATATATTAGTTTGAGAGATGTTTTTATAATATTTTAATAAGGAAATTTGGTCCATTTATATTTATTTTTTACCAAAACAAAAATCCGGGTGGTGATAACACATGCCTGTAGTCACAGCACTCAGGAGGTAGAGGCAGGTAGGATCTCTGCAAGTTTGAGGCCAGCCTGGTCTATAAAGAGAGTCCCAGAAGAGCCAGGGCTACACAGAGAAACCTAGTGTCAAAAAAAAAAAAATGAAATCAATCCTTTGTCAGATGTGGAATTGGTGAAGATCTTTTTCCCATTCTGTAGGCTGCCATTTTGTTTGTTGACCATGTCCTTTGCCTTACAGAAGCTTCTCGGTTTCAGGAGGTCCCATTTATCAATTGTTGCTCTCAGTGTCTGTGATACTGGAAGTATATTTAGGAAGTGGTTTCCTGTGCCCATGCATTGAAGGCTGCTTCTCACTTTCTCTTCTATGAGCTTCAATGTAGTTTGTTTTATATTGAGGTCTTTGATCCATTTGGACTCAAGTTTTGTGCATAGATAATGGATCTATTTGCATTTTTCTACATGTTGACATCTAGTTATGCCAGTATCATCTGTTAAAGATACTTTTTTTTCCACTTTATAGTTTTAGCTTCTTTGTCAAAAATCAGGTGTTCATTGGTGCGTGGATTTATATCAGGGCCTTCAATTTGATTCCATTGTTTCACCTGTCTGTTTTTGTGCCAATTCCAAGTTGTTTTCATTACTATAGCTCTATATTAGAGCTTGAAATCAGGAATGGTGATGCCTCCAGAAGTTCTTTTGTTGTACAGGATTGTTTTGGCTATCCTGGATTTTTTGTTTTTCCATATGAAGTTGAGTATTGTCCTTTTGGGGTCTTTGAAGACTTGTGCTGGGATTTTGATGGGGATTGCATTGAATCTGTAGATTGCTTTTGGTAAGATTGCCATTTTTACTATGTTAATCCTACCTATTCAAGAGCATAGGAGATCTTTAGATTCTGATGTCTTCTTCAATTTCTTTCTTCAAAGACTTAAAGTTCTTGTCGAACAGGTTTTTCACTTGTTTGGTTAGTGTTACCCCAAGATATCTTATGTTATTTGTGGCTATTGTAAAGGGTGGTATTTCTCTGATTTCTTTCTCAGCCCATTTATCATTTGTATATAGGAAGGCTACTAATTTTTTTTTTAGTCAATCTTGTATCCTGCTACATTGTTGAAGGTGTTTATCAATTATAGTAGTTCCCTGGTAGAATTTTTAGGGTCACTATTATGCTATCTTCTCAGCAGCAAATAATGAAAGATTATTCAAAGAACTCAAGAAATTAGACATCAAAAGACCAAATAATCCAATTTAAAAATGGAGTACATCTAAACAGAAAACTCTCAATAGAAGAAAATCAAATGGCTGAAAGACACTTTAGGAAATGCTCAACATACTTACTCATCAGAGAAATGCAAATCAAAACTCTGAGATACCATCTTTACACCTATCAGAATGGCCAAGATCAAAAATTCTGATGACAGCTTATGCTGGAGAAGATGTGGAACAAAAGGAACACTCCTCCATTGCTGGTGGGAGTGCAATCTTGTACAGCTGCTTCGGAAATCAGTATAACAGTTTCCCAGAAAATTAGGATTCAGTCTACCTCAAGACCAGCAAAACCACTCTTGGGCATATAACCAAAGGATGCTCACTCACACCACAAGGACATTTGCTCAACTATGTTCATAGCAGCATTAGCCGTAATAGTCAGAACCTGAAAACAACCTAGATGCCCCACAACCAAAGAATGGAAAATGTGATACATTTACACAACACAGTGATCAAAAACAATGGCATCTTGAAATTTGCATGCAAATGGATGGAAGTAGAAAAAAACATCCTGAGTGAGGTAACCCAGACCCAGAAAGACAAATATAATATATACTCACTCATAAGTGGATAATAGACATTAAGCAAAGGACAACCAGCCTGCAGGCTACAACCCCAGAGAACCTAGGTAACAAAGAGGACCCTAAGAGACATATATGGATCCACCTAGAAAGGGGAAGAAACACAAGATCTCATGAGTAAATTTGGAGCATGGAGGGTAGAAGGCGAGGGAGGAGGGTGAAGGGGAATGGGGGAAAATATATAGCACATTCCTGTCCAAACAATTAAAATGAAAAGGATTTTTTAAAAAGGAAAGAGGGAAGGAAGGAGGGAGGGAGGAAGAAGGAAAGAAAGAAGAAAGAAAACACATACAAAATGTTCCTGGTTTGGTACCAAAAGCAAAATTCTAATTAATGAACAGATGTTTTCTAGACTCTAAAATAGCCACAGGTAGTTGTGCATCATTTAAAATTTGTTTTATTCATACCATTTCAGACCCTGGCCCTTTTGGAGGAAGAAGAAGATATAAACCAAATCACAGATTACTTCTCTTATGAACATTTCTATGTCATTTATTGTAAATTCTGGGAACTAGATGGTGATCATGACCTGTACATCAGCCAGGCTGATCTATCTCGATACAATGACCAGGGTGAGTGACTGATTCTAAAGATGCTAAAACTAACCCTTTTGTCAATGTTGTATAAATTGTCTCCCCTCATTATGAGAAATTCCCTTTCTTAAATTCTATTAGTAAGTCTCTGTATAGGGCCCATAATTTTTAAATGAGAATGGACAAAGATAAATTTTTTATGTGTTCACTCTGTAGACCAGGCCGGCCTTGAAATAACAGAGCGCAGCCTACCTGTGCCCCTCCGGTGCTGGGGTTAAAGGTGTGCACCACCAACCCTAGCCAAAGGTCAGTTTTCAACCTTAAGAGGCCAGAGTTTTAAGACTACAGTTTTAAAGGTGGAAAGTCTTTGTACTAATTTGTATCATTATGATGACGAGTCTCAGGTCAGCCTTGGCTATGCACCTTCCTGTTAACCATGTTTGTGAGCCAGCCTGCAGAGATCACACAACCCATGGGCTCTGAAGCCCTCTCCTGGACTTAATGCCATTGTTTCCAGATACTGTATGAACTCACTGGATTGATGTTAATGATATGGTGAAGGGGACATTAAAACACCACATTTTTGTCCACTCACCAAATTTTGCTCTAGAACATGGTCTTTAGTTTTAGAATAATAAACCTTCCAAAGCTAAAAGAATCTTTTTTAAAAGGTGGTAAGGAGCAGGAGTGTTGGCTCAGCAATTAAGAGCACTTTACTACTCTTGCAGAGAACCTTGAGCTCCATCCCCACCACTTACATCGCAGCTCACAAATGTCTGTAGCTCCAGTGCCAGGAGATTTGTTCTCCATGGGCACCAGGCACTCATGTGATGCATGTACATACATATATATACATACATGCAGACAAAACACTCATACATAGAAAGTAAAAATAAATTGGCTTTAAAGATGTTAGTGTTAGAATTTAATATTTTTTGCAGTTTCTATATAGCCTTCTTATTTGTCTCTAGTATAAAATATTTATTCATTAGTCAAAGTTCAACTGTAGAGGCTTCTGTTGGCTTATCCTGACACACATATTTCTAATTTTCCTAGCCAAATTGACTCATCTTTATGTTGACTATACCTTACTCTAAAAAGAATAGATGCTGGGAGGTGCTAACCCTCTATTGAAATCCCTGGTAGTCCTTAAATTTTAGAGTGCATTCCATTGTCTGGGGTACTTGTTAAAAGAACAGGTCTAGAGATCTCTGGCCTTACCTTGCCTCTTCTCTCCTCTCCCCTCCCTTCTTCTTCATTCCTCTTCCCTCCCCCCCCCCCCTTTTTTGGCTATTTGAATATAGAAAGAGATAGTGCTAATACATTTTCTAAGGTCTATCATCAAAGACAAAACATACTATCTGAAGATACAATTGTTACTGAGAAGGTAGCTCAGTGGAAGGTTGCTTGACTAGCATGTGCAAAGCCCTGGGTTCAGTGCCCCAGTAGAAGCAATAACAATAGCCAAAGGCCATTAACTGTCTCTGTAAATAAAGCCTATTGACGGTATTTCTTTTAAATATTGTATCTGAGCCTCTGTAGAATGGGAATGTAAGAAAAGCATGTTTATGGTGTGTCTTGGTAACTTTTATAAAGCTGCTCTGGAGTACTCGCCATCATCTTACATTGGTTCAGGAGCTGCACAATCTGTTTCCCTTGAACTGAATGCTAGGATAAAATTTGTCTTGTTTTAGAAAATTAGTTTTGTTTTATTGGATACCAAGATCAATACAAATTCTGTGTATTTTTGTCTTAGCTGTCAGGATGTTCAGAATTAACTTAGAACTCAACTAGATAAATAACTAAATAGATGTCAGGTACATTCACTTGCCTGATCTTTTTTTTAAATTAGTGACTGATAATTTAAACCTACCTTATTTTTCTAAAAAGTATAAATTATGCATAAGTAAGAATTTATTCCTGCACAAGTGGGGGTGGGGCCTTCAAGGTTCCACCCTTGACAGAGGAGATTTTGATTGTTGAGCAGTACTGAGGGAGGAAGATTTACTCTCCTTTGGGTATTTTGCCCATACACACACCTGCATATGAGAAGATACAGACTCATGGGTTTAATGACCTAAAAATGGAGGCCATGGAATAGGGAGAGAGACAGACTAAGAGACACTGGAATTATAGAGAGGTAACTTATGGTGAATGGATAGGTTCGAAATACACTGTATAATTATATGAAATTTTCAATGAATAAATTTTTTTTTTAGAGAATTTAGGGGTTGGGAGTGTCACTGAGTTGACAGAGTGCTTGGCTAGCATATACAGGCCTGGGTTTGATTTCCAGTACCATGTAAACTGTGTACAGTGGTGCACACCTATACTCCCAGCTCTCAGTGGTAGAAGCAGGAAGATCAAAAGTTCAAGGTCATCCTCAGTTATATAGCAAAATAGTGTTCACCCTGGGATATATAAAATCCTGTCTCAAAAAAGAAAAGAATTTAACTGTTGATATTCTCACTGTGGAAGATTGTTAAATGGCTCAGGGTTAACTTTAGCAAATAAAAACAAATTTGTCAGGAATATTTCTAACTAACTAATTTTTATTTACATTTAGCTTCATCAAGTAGAATTATTGAAAGAATATTTTCGGGAGCAGTAACAAGGTATGAAAATTTTTTAAATTTGAATTTTATTTAGTGGGCTAACAATAAGTAATAGAAAGTGAAATAAAACAATTTGAGTTTTAAAATGAAATATACCATTGCAGCAGTCTCTCACTTTAGCAAAGCTTTCTGCATAATTTAGCGGGGCTTTTAATCAAATTATATCTAAAAAGCATAAAATCATGGCCTAATAAAAAATATTAATTCCTTAATATTATTGCAATGGCAAAATATAAGTAACAATATCTGATTCCATTGATTATCAAATTAGAAACCTGGGCTAAACCTACTGGCATGGGCCTATAATCCCCAGATACTTAGTAGGCTGAGGCAGGAGGTTCACAAACTGAAGCCTTCTTGGACCACACAGTCAGTTCAAAGTCTGCCTAGGCAATTTAATAAGACCTTTCAATAACAGTAAGCTGGACATGGTGGCAGATGCCTTTAATCTCAACACTTTGGAGACATAAGCAAATGGATCTCTGTCGGTTCACAACCATTCTGGCCTGTATATTGAGTTCCAGCCACTAAAGGCTACATACTGAGACCCTGTCTCATAAAAATTATTTAATTAATTAATTAATTAAATAACAAATTAAAAGTAAAAAGAAGGATAAGGATGTAACTCGGAGGTAGAGTACTTGCTTGCCTTGTATTAGGCTTTAAGTTCAAACTCTAACACCACAAAAGCAGCATAATTTTTTTCCGTTTAGGCAAATACCTTCTAGTTGGACCTTGTAGGCCTTAGAAAATAAGACAGGCTTCAAAGGGGTTGCACTTTCTAAACTATCCAGCTTTATGAGTTTTTTTTTTAATTTAGTACATTTCTAAACAGTGGTGTTATTTTATTTCTTAATTGCTCAGGAAATTTCATAACTATGTTTTTTTCAGAGGAAAGACAGTACAAAAAGAGGGAAGGATGAGCTATGCAGATTTTGTTTGGTTTTTGATTTCTGAGGAAGACAAACGGAACCCTACCAGGTAAGTTTTTGTTGTGTAAACACATGCACAAAGCTTAGAAAGAGCATGGTGTCTGCCTAGTAAAGTGACCAGGCCTAGCCATAGCTCAGCATATAAAAATGCAGAGAATCTTACCTTCAGCCCCAGCACCCTTGTGGTGGCTCAGGACCATTCTTAGTTACAGTTCCAGAGGGTACCAAACACACACTGCTGCACACACATGTGTGCAGGCAAAACGCTCATACACATAAAGTAAAAATAAAATCTTTTTAAGATAACAGGGGCTAGAGAGATGACTTTGTGGTTTAAGAGCACCTCTTTCTCTTCTAGAGGCCTGAGTTCAATCCAACACTTAAGTCAGGTGGTTCACAACTGCCTATAACTCCAGAGGAGACCCACTTCTGCTTCTAGCCTCTGCCATTATCTACACACACAGGCATGAAAATAATAACTATTTTAAATTCATACATAGATAGAACAAATACTACTAGATGGAGTTAAATGACATCATAAATAATTGTTCTTAAACATTTACAAAACATTTCATCCATGCATTATAGAATATACATTCTTCTCAACAGCGTATAGTACTTTGTCTAAAATAAATTATATATTACTACATAAAGCAAGTCTGCATAAATATTGGAAAATTCAATTAACTTTTTGTATTCTATCTGACCACATAAAATATAGCTAGTAATTAATAGCAAGAGAAACTTAAAAAAAAACTCTTAAATTTGTGGAGATTAAACAATATTGGATGATGAGTGCGTCACTAAAGAAACAAAGAAGCCACAACATATAAAACCTATTGGATGGAAAAGGTCGTCCCTAAGGGATGATTATGGTTCCACGGGCCTTAAAAAAAAACTAGATCTTAAGACCTTGGAAAGGCAAAAGCAGTAGATGGAAATAAACCATCAAGAGCAGGGCAAAATTAATGACAGATGAAAAATACAAAAGATGGATGAAAGAATTGTCTCTTTGAAAATAAAATTAATATTGATTGAGAAAACCAAAACAAAATTAGAAATTAAAAGAAACACATTACAATAGATACCACTGAATTTAGAAAATTATAATGGCATAACTTAAAAAACTTAACAATTTTTTACTCCATTAAATAGAAAAGTCTAAAATTTAAGTGTATAGATTATATATATGTATATATATAAACTACCTATGTAAAGCCAAGATACTATAATATAAAAACATCTATGATAAATAATCAGATCAATTAAAAATGATAATAAAATCCTCAACAAAAAGTAGTCTAGTTCTGGGGCAGGAGAGATGGCTCAGAGGTTAAGAACACATACTGCAGAGGACCAGAGTTCAGTTCCCAGCACCATGTCAGGTGGTTCACACCACCTGTTCCTCCAGCTCCAGGGAACAATGCTTCTCATCTCCATGGACTCCTGCACTTGCATGCACATACGCCTACACAGACACACATAAAACTGAGCACTTAGTTTTTGAAAATACACACCTAAAAATAATTATCTAAAAATCAAGTAGCTCAGGTATAGATGGATTTGCTGCAGAATTCTACCAGACCTTTAAAGAACTAATACTCATCCTCAAATTATTCCATAAAGTGGAAAAAGAAAATACACTTCCTAGCTCTTTTTGTGAAATCACCATGCCCAGCCAAGACTATAAATTGTGCCTTTACAAATCTGAAGAATGCTGGGCAGTGGTGGTTCACGCCTTTAATCCCAGCATTTTGGTGGCAAAGGCAGGTGGATCTCGTGAGTTGAAGGCCAGCCTGGTCTACAAAGCGAGTTCTAGAACAACGAGAGCTGTTACACAGAAAAACCCTGTTTAAAAAAAAAAAAACTGCAAGAAGGCAGGGTGTGGTGAGCACACCTTTAGTCCCAGCTCTTGGGAGGCAGGCTGATCTCTCTGATTTCCAGGTCTGTCTGATCTACATGATTCCATATTAACCAGGACTATACAATGTGAGACACCCTCAAAATAAGGTAAAACAAAGGTTAAAAAAATCTGAATGAAAAGCACTAATAATCTTTAATTCTAGAATTAGCCAAAATACCAAAGTAGAAGTTAGAAAAAGGAACCTTTTCCATATCCAAGATCTGAGTCAGGAGAGCCATGTCCTTGCTGTCCAGTTATTCAAGCAACAGCAGAATCATGTGAGCCTAGGAGTTAAAGGCCACCTTAGATTACATATTAATAACTTACTTAAAATAAGTAATTTTTTTTTGTTTTTTCGAGACAGGTTTTCTCTGTAGTTTTGGAGCCTGTCCTGGAACTAGCTCTTGTAGACCAGGCTGGCCTCGAACTCACAGAGATCCACCTGCCTCTGCCTCCCGAGTGCTGGGATTAAAGGTGTGCGCCACCATCACCCGGCCTAAAATAAGTAATTTTAAAGGAAAAAATAAATGCAAGATCAAAAAACATTATGGGCTGGAGAGATGGTTCACTTGGTAAATTGCTTGCCATGCCAGAATGAACTAACCTCTAGGGTTAGACTAAGGTTAGGATTAGAGTTAGAGATTGGGGTTAAGGTTAGATCTTCATTTGATCGTCAGAATTCATGTTTTGTTTGTTTGTTTTAAAATAAAAGGCAGGCATGGCACACATTTGTGGTCCCAGTGCTGAGGAGATGGAGACAGGTAGACAGACCCCTGGGGCTCACTAGACAGCTACCATAGCCCATTTGGCTAGTGAGAGGCCCTGTTGAGAAGCAGGTGAGGAAGATCCCAGTGCTGACCTTAGCCTCCACATACACACACACAGATACACAGAAAAACTTGCCTGATTGACTCCTTTGTAGGATATTTCTAGATAAGGTGCCATGTCAAAGGATGGGGAAATGTGAGGTCCAAGAGACACAGCAGTGAAAGGAACTTCAAGATGAAATTGTGAACCAGGCATAGAGACCAAACAGAACCATAGGAGAATCAGTCAGAGGAAACTACTTAAAGAAAATGCAGTTGTTAGAATAGCTGATGTGACTGGATGTGGATCTAAACACCTGGTAGAGATTTGATACAATAACAAGTTAGAAGGAATGCACTATTTTAACTCTGAATAATAAACAAGCTCACTCACTGCATTAAGTGAATGGAAGTGATACAGGCCAAAATCTCATTTCTTGTATAAAATCAATACACAGTTCTGAAACAGAAAAATGGAGAGGAATGTGGGCTAGTGCTCTGAAAATACAAGATAAAAAGCAAAATGATTGGCCTTTGGAAATGACCAACTCTGGAATTTAAAAATAGGAGGAAGGGACTGGAGAGATGGCTCAACTGTTAAAGGCTAGGCTCACAACCAAAAATATAAAAATAGAAGGGAGAAGAGACCTTCCTTTTTTTTCCTTATATTTCTGATTGTGAATCCTACCCTTTAGTAGCTGAGCCATCTCTACACCCCTCCATTGTTTCTTCTAACAAACCTTTATAACTAGGTATTGTAGACAGAAACTGCGCATTCATTTCCCAGCCGTGTGGACACGAATAATCACACAGAAACTATATTAATAACAACACTGTTTGGCCAATAGTTTATGAATATTTCTAGCTAACTCTTACATCTTAAATTAGCCCATTTCTATTAATCTATAAATCACCACAAGGCTGTGGCTTGGTTCTGGCTGGTGGCTGGCATCTTTCTCCTTCGACAGCTACATGGCATCTCCCTGACTCCACCTACTTTCTATATCTCTATTTAGATTTGCCACCAGGCTTTACTCTACTAAGCCATTGGCCGAAACAGTTTCTTTGATAATCAATGGTAATAAAAACATATTCATAGCATACAGAGGGGAACCCCACATCAAGGTATATTTGTAACAAACATGTAAATTTACTTTTAAAACATGCACTAGTACTTGAATAAATAAAGAACCTCTATTAGGTCCATGTTAATTTTCTTCTTTTACCTTCTAGCATTGAGTATTGGTTCCGCTGCATGGATGTGGATGGAGACGGTATACTTTCCATGTATGAGCTGGAGTACTTCTACGAAGAGCAGTGCGAACGAATGGAAGCCATGGGCATTGAGCCTTTGCCATTCCATGATCTGTTGTGCCAGATGCTTGACTTGGTGAAGCCAGCTAGTGATGGTAAGACTGAATGAACAACACTTTGCTCTGTTCATCCTTTAACAAAATGGAACACAGAGTTCTGTATTATCCTTGATGTATTTAGCTTTCCAGAGTTGCCCTTACTGGCTTCCCAAGTAAAGAATTTAAAGTTTCTCTCTCCTTGACTTTAAGTATCAAATCCAGTATTTAAGAATTAGAACTTTCTAATACAGGCAGTGGTGGCACATACCTTTAATCTCAGTACTCAGGAGGCAGAGGCAGGCTGATCACTGAATTCGAGGACAGCCTGGTCTACAGAGTTGAGGTTCAGGACAGCCAAGGCTAGATAGTGAAACCCTATCTCAAAAAAAAAAATGGGGGTGGGTGGGGAGGAGAAGGAAGGAAGGAAAGAAAAGAAAAAAGAAAAATAGTATTTTCCATACAGAGGGGAAGCGCTGTGACTTGGAGTATGGATGTGAAGAGACTGTGGGGAGAAGGGGCATCATGTCACAGTGTTGACGGTTGCACACCACCATGAGTGTGCTTAAAAGTCACTGGTGTATACAAGTTAAAAATGACTCACCTTGATTTTTTTAATGTGATTTTTAATAAATGAACATACCCATGTACTTTTCAACATCAGTGAGGTTTTTATGGTTTTTTTGTTTGTCAAAAGAGCTGTCAGTAAAATGTACAGGGCATATTGTTTTTCCAAAGGCAAAATAACTCTACGAGACCTGAAGAGGTGCAGAATGGCTCATATCTTCTATGACACTTTCTTTAACCTGGAGAAATACTTGGACCATGAACAAAGAGATCCTTTTGCAGTCCAGAAGGTAATAGTATACACTGAAATTGAACTTTCAGAGCTTGAATACCAAAGGCTGTATGCTGTGTATTAAATACTCTGTGCATGTAGGGATCTCTGTACTTAAAAAGATAACATCTAAAATGTTTCCTCAAAGAGATAATAAATTCTGTAAAACAGAAGGAGGGGAAGGGGAAAAGGGATGGAGAGAGAGAAAGAATATAAACAAAAGAATGAGAATTAATATAAAGATCTAAGAGCTGGGAGACAGATGGGCATCTGTGAGTTCAAGCCCAGCATGATCTACCTAGCAAGTTCCAGGATGGCCAGAGCTACACAGAGAGACCTTGTCTCAAAGTAAATTCACAAATAAATACTACAAGCACATCTCACCCACAACCGATAAGCACGTCAGGTAATTTCTAACTCTAAGTCCTTGCTATCTATTAGATTATATTGCTGCATGTAATTGCGTTCACATTAGAAAGATGTCCCAAACAGTAGTTTTGAAAAATTACATCAGTAACACATCTTAACAAGCTATACTGACCTTGATTTAATTGTGCTGTGCACTTTGAAGATAGTGTGGTAAATAGCTTTACCCTTCTAAGTGACACCAGAACTTCTCCGTAATAGACAACTTCAAATAATTTAATACCTTTTCAAGTACTAATGATTCCTGTGTGAAGCTATCCATTTTAAATCTTGTTCTGCATGAGAATAGAGACAAGTTCCTTTGCCATGAGCAAACATCTGTTAGACCATCAGTAAACCCTGAGAGGAAGGAGACAATAAACTCCATAAAGGTCCTCTGACCTCCACACATGCACCATGACACACACACCTACTCAGGTAATAGACACACACACACAATAACCACAAATGGATTTTTTTTTTTTTTAAGAATCATGAAGTTGAGGAGATGGCTTAGAGTTACCCTGCTGCTCTTGCAGAGGACCCTGTGGCAACTCACAACTGTCTTAACTTCAGCTTCAGAGGATCCAGTACCCCCTTCTTACCTTTACAGACACTGCATACACATGGTGCACATATGTACATGCAGGCAAAACAGTTATTTTTTTTTAAGATAGAGAATCATGACCAAAATAATGTAAGCTTCTTAGTACACATAATTTTGTAATTTCAGGTGCAGATCACTGTGGGAGTGTTACCTTAGCCCCTCTTTTAATATGTTGGAACACTTTCAGATGGGTTTTTCAGCAATACACATTTATGATGCCCTACATCCAATTTTTGTCTTTATTCTAATTTCCTCCTTTAAATCAGGATGTTGAAAATGATGGCCCTGAGCCCTCCGACTGGGACAGATTTGCAGCTGAGGAGTATGAGGCTCTTGTCACAGAGGAGTCCGCCCAGGTGCAGCTCCAGGAAGGGTGAGTGCATCTCCTGATGGTTAAGGACTTTAACTGCCCATGCAGAATACTAAAACTGCCTCAAAAATCCTTCTGTAGTTTTTCCACTTTTGACTAACATAAAAGAAATATATCTGGTTTAGCTAGCTATCTTAACTTGGATGAACACACTCCTGCAGTTTTCTCTTGCATTCCTCACTGATTTCCTGGTGTCCCTTTTCCTTTAATAAGTCACACCTTCCATGGAATCCAAGATCACTGAACACAACTCTGTTAACAGTCAGTTTGGTTAAAAGGGGGCTATAGAACTGAACCTCCCCTAAATAATAAATGAACCATGTGTTAAATGAACCTTTATCAGAAATAGTCAAAGGAAAATTCCATACATGGATCATGCTAAGAGAAAAGCTGTCCAAAAATTTGGAACATTTTATCAGTTGTAACATTTTCTGGTTTTTCCATTATTTTCTATGACTTCAGAAATTCTAATTTTTCCTTGTCTTTGTTTGGAATACAGGCATGCTATACTACATCTAATGAACTCAGGTCTGCATAGTTGCAGGGAAAATGCCATCTTCTCAGTTTTTACAGTTTTCTAATATTCTACTGTATAGTTGGACCATTACTTTACAGTCGTCTATTGATGTTTTACTTTTAACATTCCACTGTTACAGATTATAGTGTTTGACAAATCATCCAATATAAATGTTGTTTAATATATAAGATGAATTCCTAGAACATACCAAGCAGATAAACATATCCAAACTAGGTTGTAGAGAGTCTACAAAGACATAAAAGGGTTTTATAAGAACCAAGCAATGATGGGTGCAGAGCCTCATGCTGAGCAGCAGTGGGGCAGCATTTCCGTGTCGTGGCCTAAAGGGACAAGGACATGAAACACCAGAGCCAAAAAAAGTAGCTGTGTGGAAAGGGAACCTGAGAAGATTTAGAATTTTGCAATCCTAGGCAACTCACCTGAAAGCAAGCTACTAGAAGCACACATCCAGCCCTCTTCATACCCTCAGCAGCCTGGTGATGACACATTTTGACCTCCAGAAGACCAGGGAGTGCCCTGATGTAGCCTATCAGGTTAGCTTCCTGGAGCACAGAAAGGAAGGGTACACAGGAAATGTCCAGTCCAGGAGGTGATGTGAACTAGTCCTCCAGAGTGGCACCATTTCCTATCTTTCCATGATTCCCTTTGGGGGGACAGGGAGGCAGAGGTTGACTTTGAATTTGTTGATCATCCTTGAACCTCTTCAATACTGGAGACCCTGTACCTAGCCCATGGTGTCTTCAGTATCTTTTTTGAAGGTGTAGAGTATACCATCACCAACACCCATTTTTAAATATGTAGATTATTTTTCTTTCTTTAGTCATAAAACTAAGGTTTCATATTTGAAGTTCTTTTGTAATAAAAATGTCCCAAGTGGGGTAGGGTCAGAAGCCAAATATATCCAGGGAATATTAATAATAACTGATTGCAGTTGTGCCTTATGAATTTACTGGGATGCAACAATGGTCAAAAGTCTGATTTGCCTCTTCTGTAGGGTAGTTTTGTTTACTTGTTTCTCCACCTTTTAAAATTACAAGTTAGGTAATAACATGGCTGAGCAGTTAAGAGCACTTGCTGCTCTTACAGAAGACCTGGGTTACATCCCCACCACCAACATGGTTGCTCACCACAGTGTGTAGCTCCAGTTTCAGGGACCCAATGCCCTCTTCTAGCCTCCCAAAGGCTCCAAACACACATAGCACACAGACAAATACAAAGATAAAACACCATACACACAAAATAATAAAATAAAAATTTTAATTAAAAAATACAAATCATAACATGGGGGATGACACCCTTGCCTCCAATTGCCTTACAATAATGGAAAAAATAACAAATAATAAGAATTCAATCAATTTAAATACAAAAAAATAAAATAAACCTAACCAAATAGAATAGTGGTTCTCAACCCCCTTTGAGGGGGTCAAACACCCCTTTATAGAGGTCTCCTAAAACATCAAAAAACAGATATTTACATTATGATTCATAACAGTAGCAAAATTACAACTATTAAGTAACGAAAATGATTTTATGGTTGGGGTCAGCACAACATGAGGAACTCTCCTAAAGAGTGCAGCATGAGAAAGGTTGAGAACCACTGAACTAGAGAACTATAAAAGAGAATACAATCTGCTGGGAAATACATGTAAGAAAAATAATTTTTGTGTAAATATTAACAGTAACAATTCAAAGGAGACACAGAAGAAAATACGTGTTTAATTAGCAAGTCTCAGCAGATACCCTAAAAAGCTACTAAGTCAAGCTAGAGGGAGAGTTAGATGTTAATTAAAATAAATACCTAGAACAGTGAAGCCAAATTCAAAACATTTTTATTCAGTCACAAAGCATACACACAAAAGCACAGACCATGTCGTATACACTAATGATAAACTAAACAAGGCAAATGTTTTTAGATCAATAAATGTAAAATGGGTAAAGTTTCTTCTTAAAATGATTCAGTTATAGAATAATGACCACCACCAAAAACAACAGTATTTTAGGGGGCTAGAGAGATGGCTCAGTGGTTAAGAGCATTGCCTGCTCTTCCAAAGGTCCTGAGTTCAATTCCCAGCAACCACATGGTGGCTCACAACCATCTGCAATGAGGTCTAGTGCCCTCTTCTGACCTTCAGGCATACACGCAGAAAGAATATTGTATACATAATAAATAAATAAATATTAAAAAAAACAACAGTATTTTAGTAATAATATAAAAACCCTTTTAAAAAGCTGTCTTGATATTACAAAGCTTAAGAGGCAAAAATAAAAATCAAAGGTGGGGATTGAAACCTATTATTTATAAACATAGTAAAGTAGTTCCTAATTCCTATTCCTAAACTTAAAATCTTTGTGAGCTTTGCCCATAAAGTATTCACAGAATATATATTAGGACATAAAGCATCCAAAAAATAGCAATACAAACTACCTTCTGATTAAAAGAAGGGGGTCTGGCTGTATGCTGCAATTTTCAGCTTCCACACCATGTAAATAAGAGTTACAGATGGTACGGATGGTAGTAGCTCATGCCTGTGACCCTAGCATCCAAGAGAGCTAGATCATGAGTTGGGGACAGACTCTGGCAATGGAGGATGATAATTAAAAAAAAAATCAGAAGCCAACCTAAAATAAGAAAGCTTTAGGAAGAAGAGAGAAAAGGATGAGAGCAAAGGAGCCAACAACTGAGGCTTTGTAACAGAATACACAAGGGCAATAGTTACAGATGGTCAGAGCAGCATTTAGTGATCCCTACCTGAATTTGACTAAAACCTAGAACAAGGAAGACACCAGAAGTCGCATTCACATAGGTCCAGCTCTGTATACCCCATCCTGTCCCTAAAAAAAAGACAAAAGCAAAGAATATGGGAACTTAGAGAAGACAGAAGAGCCACTGAAAGACACTTAGCAGCACAGCAGGCCAAACCATCTTCACAACGCTTTTTGATGAAAACACCAGCGATCCCACTTGCCCCTTCCTAAACTACCAGTAAAACAGAGGCAGCAGTCTGTTCCCAGCTACAAAGACAAATGAACAAATGCCAGACAGTTGAGAAATACCGATACAATCCAAATGGAAGAAGTCAATTCAGAAATAAGAACAAGAAATCAAAATGAGTGCTCAGAGGAATGGCAAATGTGCTCCTAAAGCCTACAGCTAATGTTTTAGAAATGGGGATGTAATTGTAAGGGTTTGTACACTGTGGTACGCATTTGGAGATCAAAGGTCCACTCTCAGACATAGATTCTTGCCACTTGTGGATCTGGGGATCCAACGTAGGTAGAGAGACTTGCAAGTAGGCTCTTTTCCCACTGAGCCACCTCACAGCCCAAGGAAGAATGTTTTAATGAAAGCTGCAGCATGGTGCCAAGTGGAATGGACACATTGGAAATATTGTTATTTTGCTGAAATGCTGGGCATTTTAAACACCTCTAGAAAACAACAGGAATATTTTCTAGAACTTTAGCTATTGAAGCAACAAAAAGATGCATGGAAGCAGGAATTAGCATTTTTTTCTACCCCAGTTACAAATATTTCATATCTTATGGGTTCTGTTACAGTGTGCAGATAATAATATGAGCAAATGTTTGCCACTGTATTCCAGTAGAACTTTAAAAATAAACTAGAAGGTACTCATTGCATAGTGGTTCACATCGCAAACTATCCCTGTGATTTTTCTTTGAAATTTAAAAAGGTAAACGTGTTCTTAGCTCAGTTGTACCAAAACAGGCGTGAAGATAGATCTGGCTCATCATATAGTTTGCCAATCCCTCCATGAGAGTGAATTCACTGTACAAAGAAATAAAGAACTGAAAAATCTTCAGTAAGAACAATAATTACCCACAAAGGAATGCAGAAAGAAATTAAACAACACTGTCTACTTACTATCTGACAGACCAGCTTCAGGAAGGAGAAGTCTGTTCTGGCTCCATCCATCATGGGGGCAGAAACTAGAGGCAGTTGTTACTGAATCCCTGGTCAGGAAGCAGAGATAAATGCTGCTGCTCAACTCCTTTCTTCCTTGTATTCAGCCCATGCAGTGGTGACACCACATTTAGGACTGCTCTCCCTACCTCAATTAGCCTAATGTTAAAAACTCCCCTCACAGGCATGCCTAGAGATGTGTCACTTCAAATTGGCAGTCAAACTTAACATCATAAATATCATTCAAGTACTACTATGAAAACAACTTTAGGGACTAGAGAGAAGGCCCAGTGGTTAAGAACACTAGCTGTTCTTTCAGAGAACCCCAATTCAGTTCCCAGCACCCACATAGCAGCTTACAATTGTGTGTAGTTCCAGGGGATCCAATGTGCTTTTCTGTCCTCCAAGGGTGCACACAGTGGTGCACTTATATGTAAGCAAGACATTCATATAAATCTTTTTTAAAAAGAAAACTTCAGGGCTGGAGAGATGGCTCAGCGGTTAAGAGCACTGCCTACTGTGAGTTCAATTCCCAGCAACCATATG